TCTTCAAAAACCGCCACAGTTAAATTCAATAACTATTAAGTATCTTTTTGCGTGACTAAAAATAAATCAGTAGTATAGTCACGCCAATACAAAAGATAATTGTGACTAAATAACGTTCTCAACAAAACCGATTTTCCATTATAAGTTTTGTTTCAACATCAACATCGACCCGAAGGTTTTCTGACAACGGAATTAGATCGTCACTGTCAAACACAATCAATGCCAGCAATATCTATAATAATCACAGATAATGACTTCGTGGAAGAGATTTGCCGCCATTTCGAGGGTCGCTTAAAGTAAATCCTAACTTCTAGCTAGTGTCGTCTAGCAATTAATATAAAAAAAAGAAGAGGACAAAGATTAAACGATAAGCAGCCGAAAGAACGGTCAGTCGACTGAGGAATGGAAACACGAATTGCAATAACATTATTATTATATGAGTACATTACACGAGTAACGAGTTTGCTGCGCCGCGCGGACCAACGCCAAAACACGTGCCGCGGTTGAATGATCAAACTCTCGCAAAAAAAGCCGTGCGCTTAATTAACATGATAAATGAGAGTCATAAAGAAACTTACGCGTATTTAGTGGTCAAGAATCCTTTACGAAAGGAAAACGAGCGAATAGAACGAAGTAAGATTGCTCCAGCCGAATTAAAATTCGCTCTTAACAATTAAATACGTAACAATTAAAAATGCAACAGTCAAAGAAGGATCTCAAGATTATTTAATAATAATAATTAGTGTCTTTTATATTGGAAGCTAATGACTTCTTTACTAAATTGAACTAACACTTTATTGAATTATTTAATGCTGATTAGTAATTCCAACTATTCTCGCTTTAATACTATTAATTATATTAATGATATTAATATTAATAATACAAATTAATACTAATATTAATAATATAATATTAAGAGAAGAGATCTAATCAGAATTAACACTAATTTCAACAATGAATGCTACAGTTAAAAGCTTCCACTTACCTTAACGACGAATTCAATCGACTGGAGTAAACTCACCCCTGTCCGAAATCCACAAGCGATACGTAACATTCAGACGACGTATAGCTTGCAACAGAGCAAACGAGTGCCGAGTTATCGGTTCGTTATCGGAACGACACGACACTTTCGGTGGCAAAATTAATTAAATGCCAGAGGGAACTATCGGAAAATTCGCGCTCCGCCATAAATCGATTCACGCTAGGCTCAATTTTCTTCCTTTGTGCACTCGAACTGTATTGAAAATATCCCGAAAGCATCTCGACGAGACGGAAGATAAAATGTAGAAAAGTAGAGATGAGGAGAGAGCCGCCCTTGACAGTGAACTGCTATCGTAGGTACTTTGATGTCTGTATATGCGTGCGTGTGGTGTGTGTGTGTGTGTGTGTGTGTGTGTGTGTGTTCTGTATATGTATGTAATAATACGTCTATATGTATCTATGCACGTACTTCCTGGGTATGCATTTGTGTGTATTGTGTATATCTCTGCGCGCGCGAAGGTCCTTACGTCGATAAAATACACTATAACATTATATATGTACATTAACATGCGTAACAGAGGTCTATTCTTGGGTCTGCAGGGAGGGGGAAAGGGGTCTCTGTGTAGAGGACGCGGAGAAAAGTCTAGAGAAACTCGGGATCGTGTCTTGGGCGTAAGCTGGAAATCGCAACGTAAGTGACAATAGATAGATAAAGATAGGTCGTCGAAAGGTCGTCTAGGTTTTAGGCTAGCTGGAGAGCAGAGTAATCCTGTAATGGTAGACGCTAGTGAACGAATACGCTGGGTCTTTGGCTTCGAGATGCGCGGCGTCCTCTTAGGGTAATGGCACTACGACCTGCACATAGGTCACAGGAAAGTAACCGGTACGACCGTCCAGACTGCCCTCAAACCAATTCTCGTCGATCTTTTGGGTCAAGGTGATCGTGTCGTTTTCCTGCAAAGAAGATGAAATCGATGGATCGTTTGTGTCTGGATTAATTTTCACTTTTACAAATATAAAAATAATTAATTCTTATATATGTATATTAATATGTTTAAAAAATATTTAAGTAAGATTATGTATTAATAAAAAAGGATAAAAAATTATTTAACCAAGTGCTCTTCCAGTTTTTTTTTTTTAAAGAAATGTACAGGATACAAATGATCTATATCATGTGTACTAAGGATTAACAAAGATAGAAAAAAATTATAAAGATTCTTTATAATTAAAGAGATTAAAACAAAACATGGAATCGAGTTCATAATATACAAGATCCGCTTTAAAGATCTTATATATTATGAACTTCACTTCATTGAAAATCAATTTAAAATCAATCTACAAGAAGATTGAAAAAATAATAAGACATCCTTATATAATGTATTTGTCTGAAGAATATAACATATTTTTTATATAACATTCTCTATACGTATTTTAAACTATATTGCTTAAGTTCTTGGCGAATAATATCGTAAATTTACCTTAAATCCAAGTTCCCCAGGATTCTCGGGCTCGAAGTCGTACAGAGCTGTGCAGCACGGCGATCTCTGTGTCATCGGCGTTCTCGCTGGTGATTTGCTCGGCGAGGGCAAGGGTGAAGCTGAAAATAGTCGGCAGGAGTGTGCTAAACTACTAAAAACTTCGCTAATATGACGTAAAAAAACACGTCATAGTGTTACTGCATGTCGCATCGCATATACGTTCACAAACTATACATTTAACAATCTGCCTTGGTAGTCGTGAACCATCTTGCGTGAAAAAATCGTGTCGCACAAAGCAGCGTGTAATGTCAATTTCTTTCTAAATGCGAAAATAAAATAACATCGCAGAAAATATTTGAGAATAAAAGTAAGCTTCTGAAATTAATATGTTTATTTGTCGATGGAAGAGCTAATTAAAATTTTTATAGTAAGAAGGAGACCGTTATCTCAATTTCGATAAAATATTATTGGTAAATCCAAAAACATTAGGAAAAAACATGATTTTTCAAAAAATTTATTCTAAACTGAAAGAAATTCAATCAAATTAAATATGAGTATGATGTTCTTATTTAAAAAATTGCTGCAGCTTTTGGACTAAAATGTAAATCCAAATATATTATATACTTTTAATTTACAATTAGTAAGATTTATAAAAATCACTATATTCCTTCTTACTCTACTAATTTGGATTTCATTCAATTTTACTTAAAATCTATTCAACACAACCCTCTTCTACAGCATAGAGTGGCAAAACATTATCTAAATAAACGTGCATGGTGATCAGTCATTAGTGTCGTTATACGAGAAAGCGGTAGAGAATTCCATCGAAAGAAAAATGATAGAGAATTACGCAGGATCAGTCGCACCAACAGCTTCGATTACTAATCGTGATGATGAGATTCGATATTCGTTTCTGAATCATTACTAGATAGAGTGAGAAACTTTAGATAATTACGGCGTCCTTAACGGCGCAACAGTTGGTGCAACCGTCCTCGAGCGATTCAAAAAGGAATTCATTTGTTTGCCGGACAGAGAGACGAGGAAACCCCCATGCAAAGTTTACCATTGGTAGATTGTGGCGGGTTTCCGGCCGGAAATAGCTCGAGCTGCGAGCGCTTCCCGTCCGCATGAATCGGAGAGCCGGCCCGACTTGCCCCTACATTGTGTCAGAAGGACAGACAGGTATGCCACATTATACACACAGCACAATCGGAAGAAAAATAGGATGATGATGTGATAGTGTGGCGAGAGTGAGCGTGTGTATCGTGTGCATGTATTTTGCGCGTAATCACAAAGATTGATCCTTAAGGGATTAACATCTGATACACATAATTGACAGATAGATAAAACAATGAACGTTTGTTTAGCAAATCCACGAAGAGTTAGTTATCTTACGAGAACTAATCGAACATCGTTCCATTAATTCTTCTCAAGTCAAACTTGATTTAAATTGTAATTCTTAAATCCGTGTGTTATTTTTCCCAATCTCATTTACTCGTTCATTTCAAAATGTATCGATAAATGTAAACAAATTTATGTTTCTTTTTCTTGAATTGCAGCTTGCATCAAGTCAACTGTCCAATGAAAGTTTCCATCTCGGTTCAAATATTTAATTTATAAAAGATAATGGAAAAACAATATTTTATTCATATTGTAAAGGAATGTTTTTCTCTCAGGAGACTAAAAATGACTCGTTCTGTTCAGTTTTGACAAGTGCGAAGTTTGTACACGTGCGCAAAAAAAAAAACACAGAATATTAGACACATCTCGCCGGATATTTTACCGGAAGGCGTTCCATACAGAAAGAGACAGGAGAATGCAATATATTTGGTCAATGTAGAATGTAAACATCCCCCCCCCCCTGGCATGACAGAAAGAGAATAAGGAAAAAAACAAGAAACAGTTAAACAGCCAGACCACCCGAGTGTCGTCGCGTAGTGTAGTGGAGTATTTGTGAAATGTGTTTTACCGTGAAGAGAGAAGTTCCCACCGTTCATATGGTCCGACGGCAATCCACTATCCACATGCAGATCCGCCAGTGTCTTCGGCACAAATTCCATCTTTGGTCTGTGTACGGCCTCTTCTTTCCTGAAGAGCAAAACATTTACCCATAGACAACATTACCGAGGAAAATGTTACAGTCATTTAACGTCACACAGATGCAAAAACGGATATCTTTATCTTCTCTTATGTAGATTTATTTAAATAGTAAAAGGTAAATAGAACTTACAGAAAATAATATATTACAAATTGTGGAATTATATGAGAATCAGCGTGATGCGCAAGTTTATGTTCAATAAAATATATTTGAAGTTACATTACTTAATAAATCGTTCGTACATTTTGGCTCAACTTGGAGCCATTTTTAGCAAAGAAAAAATATATGGTCCTACACTACATTAAGGAGAGAGTGACTGAAGTCACTCTTAGAGTTCCAAAATTAAAAATTATATTATTTGGCAATTTTCAGAACACAACTTTTAATTTTAAAAATCTAAAAGTAACTCCAGTTCATAGTTTGATTGGTACGTATATAGCGTGAGGCTATATAGTTTTTCTTCTGTGAAAATGATTCTAATGGAACCGAAATATATGAATAATTTATCAGTAATGTAATTTCTCAAATATATTTTATTGAACATAAACTTGCGCACATCATACTGCGCTGACTTTTATCTTTCAATTCTTTCACAATTTTTAGTATATTTATTTATCTAGTTATAAAAAGAAAGATAATAATTGCATTTTATAAAGCAAATATTCTAATTTATAGCGATATTCATAAGACAAAATAAAATAAATATAGACTTATATTTTATACAAAAAAAATATATATATA